GAAACGGAGGCACAAAACCTTCCTTGAGCCTCAGCTCTGTTCCCCTCATTTGGGGACGACACAAGCTCCTCAATACTCCACAAACGTTGGCACTTCCCACCCACTGCAGTGTTTTAGGGCTACCCTCACCCATCCCACACCCTGAGGGCCAAGCCAGTGCCATGTCTCCAGGCTCGGAAACGAGGGAGGACTCACATAGATCATGATTGTGGCGATCCTGTTGCCCGACTTCATTCTGTACAGGGGGCTCTTCCTGGACTGCTCCAAAAGGGGAGGTGGGGATGGTCAGTCCTGCACTGACATGGCTCAGCCCAGAGGCCCCTCACACCCCAGCAGCTCTGAGCTGCCCCACACTGCTCCCCCCCAGAAAATCCCTCCCTCTCCCTTCCCAAGAACACACCAGGCACCCACCCAGGAATCACCATCCTGCCAGGGGCCATCCCAGGGTACATCACTAGGAACATTTCAGGTAATAACCTAGGCATAACCATAGGGACACCCCCAGGGTCTTCCCTTGGGCACCATCCCAGCAGCATCATGAGGAGCATCCCAGGGCTCAGGAATATCTGAGGGACAACCCAAGAGTTCTCCTTCAGGATCTCAGGGATCCCCCCAAAGGCCAACCCAGGGCCTGTCCCCAGGAACATCCCAGGGACCACCTCTGAGTCCATCCCAGGAGCACCACAGGAACCACCCTGGGCATCACCCCATGGTCCCCCCACGGCCCACCCTGGCAGATCCCTGACCGTGGCGTGGTCGAAGTGTGGCTCGTAGTGGCCTCCCAAGCCGTAGTTGACCACCTGCAGGTACTCGGCGTAGGGTGGCCGCAGGTCCAGCCCGGTGACGGCGGCGATGCGCCGGTCCAACGCCCGCACCACTGGGTCAGCCGTGTCCTTCAGCCAGGCGCTGTGGGACCACCCCATGTCAGCCCCCCGAATTCATGTGGGGCAGGAGTTTACCCTCAGGCACTGCTGGAGGAGCCAGGCCTCCCAGCATGGCTTCACTGCCACCTCAGAGGTGGTTCCGTGGCTAGAGGACGAGGGACAAGGACAAGGCTGCTACCTCTTGCTTATCCGGTACTCGGCTTTCTGCTGCTTCTCCCCAGAGGCAACCACGGATCTCTGCAGCTGAGGAACACATGGGGAATGCATGTTGCCACACATGGGGACCCTCACACCAAGCAGAGGCTGTGGTCAAGGTCGAAGTTGGTGGGTTTGTACCAGCTGGTTGCCAAACATCCCACCCCAAGGTGTCTCACTGGGGTGAGGGAAGCAGTGACAGCAGGTGGAGCCAATGCAGGAGGGTGTCAGTTTAGGTGCCTCCGTGGACCTGGTTTCTTCAAAAAAAATCTTTTGGGGGGGCTCAGATGGAACTAGGGTCATCATCCCCAGGGTGTCATCTAATCCTGAAGTGGTTTGGGTTGGAAGGGACCTTCCAAGATCATCCAGTTCCTCCCACCATAGGCCGGGACACCTTCCACCAGACCAGGTTTCTCCAAAGCCCCATCCCATCTGAACTCCCTGGAGGAGGCTTTGGCCTTAAAACCCCTCCTATCTCTGTCTTCACCCTGGATCATGATCTCCTGGGACACTCTGCTGCAGGAAAGGGACATCCCTGGAGACAGGGATGGCTCACCCAGGGCCCTGCCAACCCCTTGATAGTGTCAGCCTCAGCATCGGTGATGAAATCATGGTACAGAGCCACATAGGGTTGGATCCGGACCAGCTCCTTCTTGGCAGGCTGGAGGAGGAGGTAGGGGCTGCTGTTGGTCTCGTAGGAGCAGCTGAGGTGCAGGAGCTGCTCTGGGGCTGCCTGGGGAGGAAGAGGAAGGACCAAGGAGGGCATAAGGGGGGCACAGCAGTGGTGGGGGACCACGGCACCCCTGCCAGTCCCACCTGCCCCCTGGGGCGCTGGCACAGCTCCTCGTAGGCATCACGGCTCTGCAGGCGGGTGCTGTTGGGGCGCTGAAGGGGGCTGGCACTTGCCCCTGTCCCCATCTCCAGCAGCTTCTTGTACTTGACCACGTTCCTCGACACCCTTTGGTTGCTGGGATCTGCTGGGGAGGTGGTGTCACCCAGACTGCTGCATCCCCATCAACCCCCTTCCCTGGCATCGGTCCCTGGAGAATTACCCCAGATGGGGGCAAGAAATGGGGTGAGGGAGGCTGTTGCCATGCAGAGGTGATGGGGACATCCCAAAATCTTTTCCCTCTTCCTGCTGTATCCAGGGTTGTCCCACATACCATAGCGGAGAAACTCCCTGGAGAGGCTCAAGGCATGGGAGATGTTTCCAGCCTGGATGGAGAAGTGGAGACCCCATGAGCATCCATCCTCCTGCCCATGGTTTGGGAGGGAGGACGCTGGGAATGGGGAGGGGACTCGCGGCTCTACCATGAAATAGGAGAAGGCCAGATGGTCCAGAGCATCCTCCAGGCTGCTCCGGTCCTCCAGGTTCCAGCTGCCATAGGAGAGGCGGAAGAGGCTGACAGCCTCCTCCAGCCACGCAATGGAGTGGTAATAGTCACCTGTGTCATAGGCCACCTGCGAGGCAGCACATCACCTGCACCAGCTGGGCCAGCCTGGCCTGCATCCCATCCCATCCCATCCCATCCCATCCCATCCCATCCCATCCTGTACCATCACATCTGTCACTTTCCTGTTGCCATCTCCATTCCCTCCCATATTATCCCCATCCTGTCCCATCCCCACCTCAATCTCCATCCCCATTTGCACCTGCCCTTCCATCTCATCCTGTGTAAAGAACCCCCCATGTCTATCCCTATGGAAGCAACAGCTGGAGAAGCGTTGTGGAGGCTTGTGGGGCTCTCCCTCACCTTTCCCACATGGAAGCAGTCGTCAGCAGAGAGGGGGACGCGCCGGCCGGGGCTGTAGAGGGGCGGGTGCCCGGCTCTCTGGAAGACACCGCTGGCCAAGCCCTTGACACTGAGTACATAGACGTCCTGCAGCCTCATCAGCGCCCTGGCTGCCCCATCCAGGTCCTCAGCTCCAGGCAGCTCCTGCTCCACCTCCCTGAGGCCAGCATGGAGTGCTGCAGGGTTGGAAAAAGGTGCAGGGCATGGGGGGGAATAAATTAAATTATGAGGTGCAATCAACCTTATCAGCTCTTTTCCCTGGGGACCCCACATCCTGCTCCTCCATCCATTCTTCTCCTCTACCCATTGACTCTTCCCCTCCATCTGTTCTCTCGTTCTTCCAAATGTTCTGCCCTTTCATCTATTCTCCTGCTCCTCCATCCTCTCCCCACCACCTCCTGGCTCTGCCCAGGTGACAGAGGGGACACAAGGCCGAGCACCTTCCCCGTACCCTGGGTGTTCCTGGTGGCCTCGTCGCTGTAGATGACGTTGGGCCAGTCAGAGTGGAGGCGCTTGATGAGGCTGAAGGCCAGCAAAGGGTTGTCCACCGAGGCCTTGGGGTCCTGGTGCAGTGCCTGGACCTTCTCATAGAACCTGCAAGGCACCCACCGGAGGACACTTCGATGCTCCTCAGTGTTGACACCACCCAGGGCTGAGGGCTGACTCCCCCCCGGTGCTGGGCAGCTTTGCCTCAGCGTCCACTCTTTGGCCAAGCCAGAGCTGAGGGATTGTCCAACCCATCCCAGGTGTGTGTGTGGGGATGGCCTGTGCCTGGGGGATGCTGCAATCCAGATCCCCACGGGTGGGAGGACCATGTCCCCTCCAGGGAGAAGCGGGGACGTGAGCTACGTCCAGTCTCAGCCTGCCGTCCTCCCACCAACCTCTTATTTACGGCCACCCCCGAAAATTGGGTGCTGCGGGGAAGGTGGGGATAGGTTAAGCCCTCCTCGTAGCCAGGGAATCACCCACACCTGGGGCTGGGGGGGCGGGATGGGTGGCTGGAGGGGAGCGGATGCTGCAGGTGCCCCACCCGTGGCCGCGGCGCGGTTTGGGGGGTCCCGGTACCTGCGGAGGCGGCGCAGGCGGGAGCTCTCGTCCCGCAGGTAGGAGCGGAGCCGGCGGAGCAGGCGGCGCTCGGCGCCCAGCGCTCCCCGCACGCTCAGCATCGCAGAGAACGTCTCGGCCGGGGCAGGGGGCGGCAGCAGCGCCAGCAGCGCCCACACCACCCACACCACCCCCAGCGCCCCCAGTGCTCCCAGCGCCCCCAGTGCTCCAAGAATCCCCAGCGCCCCCAGAACTCCCCGTATCACGCGCGCTCCCAATGCTCCAGGTACCCACAGTGTTCCAGTCCCGGCAACGCCACCAGCACCGTCAGTGCTCCCAGTACCCCCAGTACCTCCAGCAGTGGCCCCAGTACCCCCCGTGCCCCCCGTATCCTCAGCAGGAGCCCCAACACCACAGTGCCCCAGCACTCCCAGTCCCAGCCGTGCCCCCAGCCGCAGCGCCCGCATCCGCCCGCCGCCGGGAGAAGCCGGGGGAAAAGGGGCGGAGAGGCCCCGCCTTTGGGGGGAAAAGGGGTGGGGGGGTGCCCCGGATCCGCCACGCTGGCTGCGGAGGGCGGTGTGGTGCTGGTCCCCGTCCTGCTTGTCCCTGTCCACATTCCAGTCTGCGCCTCTGTCCCCATCCTGCTTGTCCCCCTCTTGTCTGTCCCCGTCCTGCCCCAGAGTCATCCAGCCTGTCCCTGCCCCTTTCTCTACTCTGTCCTGGCCCCATCCTGCCTGTCCTCATTCCATCTGGGCCCCATCCTGCCCGTCCCTGTCCACATCCTGCCTGTGCCCATCTCGATTTGATCTTCTGCCCATCCTGCCTGCCCCATCCTGCCTCTCCATACACACAAAACACAGCACCAGGACCGAGTGGGAGGTGCCACGCTTGGGGCCGTCCTGCATCTCTCTGGGGCAGGGTCAGCTATGTTGGGATTTTCCCTATATTGAGTGGATTTCACGTGTTTTGGGACAATTTTATTTGACAGTAGCACGGGGATGTGAGAGGTCACTGTCACTGTCGGGATGCTATAACCTGTTCCCTACGGAGCAGAATGAAACACCCCCCAACAGTCCCCTCCCTCCCCTACATCGCCCCCTCCCAAATTCAGAGCTCTTTTTCCCAGGAGGAAGGGAGAAACTCAGCCTAAAGCAGGCAAGTGAAGAAAACAGGATAAAAATGGTAAAAACTGGGAATTCTCCGCCACCTGCAGGAACACAGGAACTGGAACATTTTTAACGGAACTAAGATTTTTGGGTACTTTTTCCTCGTCGAATCAGCTGCTCTTGCTGGCACCTTCTGCTCTTCAGCTGCTACCAGGTGAAAAATGCTGCCTTTTGGAGAAGCAGCGGCACTTTGTACGCTGTGCCGGCATCCCCCTTGGCCAAGCCAGAGCACATCCTCCACTCCCCTGCCGCAGGTCCCTGACAGAATCTGACGGGTGATTAAAAAGGCATAATTAAATAAAAGGTACATGACGCTGAGCCTCTGAAATATCCTGGTGATGCCTCGGCACTGCCGCGCTCACTGGACCCGGCTGCCGATGCTCAGTAGTGACTGCACTGCCTAAAACGGGTCTATTTTAGGAAGCCTTCAGCTCCTGATCGCCAGAGAGGTCCAGGGTGAAGAGGCAGAAGGCGATTTCCTCGCAGGCGCTGCTGGCGCCGCACTCGAACAAGCACCCAACGACGCCGCCGGGGCACACGGCCAGGTCGGAGTAGCCGGCCGGGCCCGCACGCAGCAGCCAGGGCCGCCTCCAGCCCGCCCCGTCCAGCGGCGAGGGGTTCACATAGAGGCCGAGATCGCGCCGGCCGTGCCGGTCGGTGGGGTGGGAGTAGAGCAGCCAGGTGCGCGCCTCGGCGGCGGCGAAGCTGACCACGCTGCCCTGGCAGCCCCGCGGGGGCTCGCCCAGCGCCGGGCACGGCGCCGGCCGCTGGAAGCGCAGCCCTTGGTCCGCGCTGAGCGCCACGGCCCGGCAGCCCCGCGGGGCACGGGCGCTGCAGTACAGCAGGGGCTGCTGCCCGCCCGGGATTTCGGCCACTTGGCACTCGCCCGTCCGCTCCCCGTCCAGCAGCGCGCCCTTGTGCCAGCGGCGCCCGCCGTCGTCGCTGTAGAAGACGAGGGAATGCTGGCGGGTGAAGCAGGGCAGCCGCAGGGCCCCGCACAGACACCCGTGCACGTAGTAGGCGTAGGCGGGCACCACCAGCCGCCCCGAGCCCAGCTGAACGCCGTGGCCCGGCCCCACGGCGAAGGTGGCCCAGCGGGCCAGGTCGGCGCCGATGGCCTCGCCCGTCACGTCCCGCAGCGCGCTCCAGCCGCGCCCGCCGTCGGCGCTGCTGGCGAAGCAGAGCCGCGCCGCGCTGCACCCGCTCCAGATCTGGCACCGCTCCGTCTTGCCCTGCTCCACGCAGATGCAGAAGAGGAAGACGGTGCCGCTCCTGGCGTCGTAGAGAGGACACGGGTTCATGGTGCGGTGGCGGGGCAGCGCCAGCGCCGACAGCTCCTCCACGGGACCCCACTGCCGGCAAGGAGGAAAATTTGGATCAGTCAGGGGCTCGCTGCCCCCTGCAGCCGCCCGGCAGCGCGCCCATCTCTTGTTCCTACAGCCCGGAGGGATTTTACCTTGACCGAAGAGCCGTGCCGGCGGCCCCGCCGCAGCACCAGGTACTTGGCATCCTCGTCCCGGGCCGAGGAGCGCTTCTCGGCAAAGGCCAGGAAGGAATCATCCGGGGGGATGTAGAGCAGAGCCGGGATGCGGTAGGTGACCCCACCTGCCTGTCGGAACAGCGTCTCCGAAGAGAAAATGTGCGGCGATCCTGGTGGTGGTGGCAGTGGTGGGGGCCTCTCTCCGCCATCCCCCTGATGCTGGAAGGGTGGAAAAGTCAGATGGAAAGGGTTAAATCCCCGCAAAAGGAGGGGGTGGTCTGTACGGGGGGGGGGACAGGGATGAAGGCTCACCTTGGGGCAGGTGGTGGCCTGGGACATGGTGGCCGCCCTGAGGTTCCCCTGGGACCTGAGCAGGGTGGGAGAGTGGGGTGAGAGCAGAGCCCCTCGGTGGGGTCACACTCGCCCTCCTGCCTGTCTGTGCTGCTCCCCTGTACTGCACAGACTGCCCTGCTTCACCCACGGTGCCACCTCCAGGCTGTTCCCCAGGGCTGTGCACCTCCTGCACCGCGCCAGGACCCCCAGGCTCCCGCTGCTTACGCTCCCAGAGTCCCTGTGCCCATGCACCCCTCCATTCCCCGTGCACCCCCCGCACCCCTCACACCTGGATCCCACCCTGCACCCCCATGTCCCTACGCTCGCCCGACCCCCCAGCGACGGACACCTCTCCGTGCATCCCCCTTCACATGTCCTGACCCCCCTTCGCCCCCCCAGGCACTGATCGCCCCCATCCACCAGCGGTACCCAGATTCTCCCCGTGTACCCCCCGACACCCCCACAGCCCGACTCCCCTACACCCCGCATGCACCAAGCCTCCGGGGACCCCCCGGCCCCAGTCCCCCTGCACCCCCCTACACCTCGGAAGCACCGACCCCCCATCCCCTCCGTACCGCGACCCCCCTGCACTCCCCGCATCTCCGCATTCCCACATTTCCGCATCTCCTCATCCCGCACACCCCGCTCCTCCCTCGGCCGCCCCGCTCCGCCTCTTCCTGCGGCTCCCGGAGCCAGAGGGGCCGGATGAGGCGCTCGGCCGACCGAGAGAGCGGGCGGGGATCCAGCTGTCGGGTACCAGAGCCTGGCGCTGGTGCCGGAGGGCAGCAGGGACAATACCTGTGCAGGTGTGAGCCCGTGATGGATGCGCTCCTCTGCCGGCGCTCCCACGGGAGAGGTGGACTGGTGGAATATCAGGAGGAGACTGACTGGTGGAGTCGCTGCCGAGAAGTCCCCAAGAGGCAGGAGGGGAGCCAAGAGAGGGATGAAGGCAGGAGAATCCCTTCCTGGCTGTCCTTGCCTTCCCGGATGCTCCTATGGAACAGGTGTGGAGAGGGAGGGCTGGAAAAATCATGAAGGTCCATCTGGGAGTTCCCTGAGGTGAGGCAGCCAAGCCCAACCAGCTCTACAAGATAAAAAGAGGAGTCATCTTCATCAACATGTGGCACCTGGGGATGAGGTTTAGGTGGCAAGGTTGTGGTGCTGCCACGGGAATGCCAGGACTTTCCAGCCTTGAGGATTTTGTGAACTGGGATTCCCTCCCCTGGCGTGAAACACCCCAGAGATGCTCCAGGACACGTTTAATGTCTGTTCTTCCCTTTTATTGAAAAAAACAACCAAAAAATCTCTTTTAAAAAATGCCCGTTTATAGAAGGGACACATTGAACAGGGGATGCCACAAGGGAACCGCAGGACGGACAGACACAGCTTGGAAAATCTTTTACACTTTCTGGAAGCTTTGTGGCTGAGCACACAGAAGTAGCATATTTGATTCTCCCTCCCAACACATTTTTTTTTTTTTTTTACTATAAAAACAATCCACTAGCGCCAGTTAGTTAAATACAAAAATAAAGCAAACTTGTTTGGGAGAGGATGGTTGTTTCACAGAAGGGTTTTGTCCTGAACTCCTAACAGAAAATGGAAAGGTGGGATTGGTAAAACCCCTGGACACAGAGCACTGCCAAGGAAAGCAGAGGATGCTGGGGCAGCATTGGTGATGTTTCCCCTCCTGAGGGTGCCCAGAATCTACTTCTGGGCTCTGCCCCAGAGCCTGGAAGACAGGCCCACAGAACAAGCTTAGCCATGAGCTTCAACAAATCTTGGGTCCAAGATTAAAACTCCTGCTTATCCAAAATGCAATAGGACTTCAGGACAAAAAGAGAGGCCATGATTCACTTTCTTTGCCATTTGACTTTATTGGTGTTAATTTAGCAGGTTCCTGGGAGGCGGGTGGGCTTCAAAATCATTTGGTTTTCCTCTCCAGGGCCAGACTGTCGTGCAGCTTGGACACCTCAGGCTCGTAGGCCTCCATGACTAACGTGCCGTTGCTATCGAAGAACTTGGCGATGGATTTGGTGAACTCGGCT